GGGATAAAAGTTGATTTCCTAATTACATTTCAGTTGCTTTTTTTTTTTTTTCCTTTATGTTTAACTTTACTGATGTGAGTTAGTACAGAATTTTTTTATTTTTTTATTTTTTTGATGCTATCCTTAGGATCTTGCTCTTTCCTTTTATTTTCATAAGAAATTCTAAGACAAGGTGATGTATCTGTTGTCTAAGTGAAGCTTTCAAGTCTTCTAGTCTAGTGATAAAAGGAAAGGTGATTGCTTTATCCCATCTCTCAAGTTCAATAAATTTTTCCTCTATTCAACACCTGTTATAGCTGTATTTTATCATTTAAAATAGCTGATCTTGCCAGCTTAATTCTTTTTTTTTTTGAACAATGTGTCATGGGGGGCTCGAACCCCGCCCAAAAGAGAGATGCACCTCAATGTGGTGGGAAATCACTTGATTCGAAGGGTCAGGTGCTGCCAACTTAATTCTTTTAAGTTTGTCATTGCAGTCAAAACAGTAAAAACTGGCATTGATATTTGAGGAAATATAATAAACCCTATAAAATTTTTTGTGACTTTTGAGTTTTGAGTGGGTTTATAATGGTACATACAAAATAAGTAAATTAACAGCAAGGCAAAGTAATTGAGGATTTGATAACGCCATTTAATTTTGAATTTTGAATAGAATGTTGATTCTCCTTTGCTTTGATTTAATTGCATCAATCTCTTCATCAATAAATATTAATATTGATTTTACAGATAGACTCCCCTTCCCAAACTCATGTCTTTCAATTTATGATTCGGCAACTGAGACCGCTTCTCCTTCGAAGACCATTTCTACATCCGAGGCCGATCCTGCATCTGAATCTCCACCATAACAGTAACTGTAGGATTGCCAGTTCTGGATTTCTTCAACAGAAACACGAAATGATACATCGTCGTAGGAATAGCCAGCATGTGGATTGTCAGCCTTGATAACCAAGTCGGCTTTCTCCTGCAGCTTCAATGCAAGTTCTAAGGTTACCTCAACTTCTCCCATTGAAGGCCGTTCATTTGGATTTAGATGAACACAATTGAGAGCGATCTCCACGTATTCTATCAAACATGCCGGTGCTATCTTCCCTTTCAGAAATGAATCGATCATATCATGAACACAACCATTTTTTATGCATTTAATGATCCCGAAAATCAAATGAATGACTTCCTCGTCTTCTGCCTTGGCGTCAATCAACTTTCTAGCGCACAATACTTCTAACAGAACAATACCTAGTGTGTACACATCAACTTTTTCACTTAATTCATGACGTCTATAGAAAAACTCTGGAGCTATATAGCCCAGGGTACCTCTTCCTGGTGTCATCATTTCTTCCAAAGCGTTGGGCTTAGGCTTTGAGATGCTAGAGGGACCAATTACGGATGATCCCAAATCTGCAAGCTTGGCATCCCAATTGTCGTTCAGAAGAATATTGTGAGGCTTGACATTGCAGTGAATTATTGTATGCTTTGCACCTGTGTGAAGGTAGTGTAATCCCCGCGCTGCCCCAATACATATCTCTAGTCTCCGCTTCCATGGGAGTGGATCAGCATTCCCAAAAAGATGACTATCCAATCCCCTATGGGTCATATGTTCATACACAAGGATCCTCTCATCCTTCTCGTCACAAAACCCGAGGAGAGAGACAAGATTCTGGTGGCGTAGCTGGCACAGTAACTCTACCTCATTTTGGAACACATCAAATCCTTGTCCGGATGATCTGCTAAAGCGTTTTACAGCTACAACCATGGAGCCGCCATCAATGAGGCCTTTGTACACTGAGCTAAAACGATCTTGACAGAATATCAAATCATTATCAAAGTAGTTGGTGGCAGCTTGGATCAAATCATCATCAAAGTTGTTGGTGGCAGCTTGGAGCTCAGCTAGTGAAAATTGACGACATAGTCCCTCTGAAAGTGCTGAAGGTTTTCTTCCCCTTTCTTTAACTGATGTTTTCTTGAGAAATTTGAAGAAATTTTGAAGAGCCATTGAATTGTGGGTTTCTTTTTGATAAATGTAACAGGGAGGGAGGGCAATTCTGCATCGCATTTGTATTAAGTCGGTCTTAATTTCCTTTTATTTCAAAGTTACCGAGTCTGAAATCACAAACTTTTGTCTTCTACTTACATGAAACATACAGGTAATTTCCAAGTAGGTAAGTCCCTGCTAGTTGCTTTCTTGTTGAAAAGCAAGGAAATGGAAGTTTCTTGGAGGTTTCTATCTTTCTTCTCTCTTACTAGTTGGTATGAAAGCAATTTTCAATGCACATACTACAGGGTAATCCGTGTTGGGTCGTCCCAATCCCTCTTTTCCACCTACTATTACTTTTACGTCAATGCTTACCAGCTTCTTAGAAGATGCCCTCGCAGTCAAAGTAAAAACTGATGGCAATTGATATTGGAGGAAATATAATAAAACCTGAAGGTGGAAGCAGTCAAGTGCAGTTTGCTTTGTGAAAGATAGGTAATTGATGACTTACATTTCTCCTTTGGCTTTGTGAAATTCATGGAGTTTTTTGTTATTTTTGTGAAATTTTGAATGCTTCCTTATTAATTGTTCGGAAAATAAGAGGGTTTTTGCTATTTTGTTAGCTTGTACCTGTCTGCCTTCACTCAAGAAGCAAAGACATATTTAATGGCTGATGCTGTGGTATCCTTTCTTGTGGAGAGGTTGGGTAACCTCTTGATTGATGAAACCACACTGTTATGGAGTGTACGGATCAGGTCCAACAGATGCAAACCGAGCTAAAACGGATACAGTGCTTTCTAAAAGATGCTGACAAAAGGCAAGATGAGGATGCCAGCGTTCGGAATTGGGTTTCAGAGATAAGAGATGCTGCTTATGACATTGAGGATGTTATTGACAGTTTTGTGCTTAAATTTGCAGCTCGGAATGGAAGAAGAATCCATAATCACATCACCAAAGGCATAGCACTTCACAACCTTGCTTCTGTTGGTTTTTTTAAAACAAAGAAATGGAGAGAACCGAGAGGATGAAAAACAGAGCATAAGCTGAAATGGAGAGAAGTATATCACTTCAACTCAAGTTTTCTCATTGCAATCTCTCCTATTTATAGGAGAATACAAACTCAATTCAAAATTTAAATCTA